AGGCAACACTGAATTCAAAGCCACTGTGATTTCTTCATTCTTCTTTCCATAAAGTGTTTTATTAAAGGAGACAGATTCCTGCGCAATCCGTTCAACATCAGTCACAATTTCTGCCGAATCTAGTATAAGTCGTCGAATATGCTTTCTAGCTCTTCTCACTAAAAACTTTCCTCAGCACACTTGTATCTCTAGTAAAGAGCTGTAGATTGCTTCATGGCGTCAAACAACTCCTCGAAAGGATTTTGCAATGCATTTATCTGCATGTCTTTCATATCCTTCTCAGACTGCTTAACCCAGCTCGATATGTCTGAAAATTCCTCATGGTTAAGAGATTTGAGCGCCAACTTCAGCTTCTTCAATCTATTTAGTACTCGCTGAATAATAGGCCCCTGTCCAAGATTATTCCAAACAGTAGTCAACAGATCATTATATGTCTCATGTTGCATCCACATTTCATAAAACCGGAAAGGCTTGGGGAATGACTTATGTTGCTCTGTTAGACAAACGAGAATGCCACAATGGTCTGAAAAAGAGGGAGCCAAGAATTCTACCACTGAATCTGGGAGTGCACTTAATCAATCATCATTAACTAGCATACGATCCAGTTTCTTTGCAATAGCTCTGGGTTATTGCTGGTTGGACCAAGAAAATAAAGGCCATATGTACTGATGATCCAATAGTTCCATTGAGTCCACCCAAACGAAAGTTCTGCATACTAGATGATATAGAAACGGCGTTAGAAGATTCCAGTGGACTTAGAATGGCGTTAAAATCACCACAAACCATCCACGGAAATCCCTTTACTTGCCATTTCCTCAGTTTGGTGTAAGTAGATAATCGATCATTTTCCTCATTAAAGTCATAAACTGCAGTAAAGAAGAAGTGTTCTGCTGCTGTGATGGAAATCAACATATGTATGAAAGAACTGTTGCAGTGTAGGACCATCAACTTCACATCCTGTGCCAGGCAATCCAAATTCTATCAAGGTAATGAGCATTGTAGTTATCAGCAAACATAAAATCAGAAATTTATCTTGTATCTTCTTAGCATTGCACTTCTGTACCCTAGTTTCCAGCAATGCTAGCACTTGTACTTTATACTTATGTATATGCTGAAGCACAGAATCGTGCTTTGAGGAGCTGTTGAAGCCCTCGTGTTCCATACTCAAACAATCATATCCTCAGAAGAGGGGCCTTAAGCACCCCTTTCTGACTACGTAAACCCTCCGACGAATCCGAGGAGGATCCTTCAACTGGGTATTCTTAGCACAAATTGAAGCAAAAGAATTCGCCAGAGATATCGGGGATGATATCACCTGAATAGATGGTTTCACTCTGTTAACCACCAAATTAAAATCTTCCTGAGATGGCAAAGCACTAGGAGTGATGGGAGGAGATTCAATCACTTGCTCGACAACTTGGACATTTTCTTCCTCAGACCTTGAAGTACTAGCTAACGCAGCAGTGGTAATCGTTTTCTTCCTCCAAACCTTCTTCACATTCACCCCACATGGAGCAGCACAATCATGACCAAAAACACCACAGGATTTACAAACAGGAGGTAAGTGACAGTATTCTACCTGAATGAACATCTCATCCATAACGTCAGGGTGATACTAACCCGATTAATCTGTGGCTTCTTAGCACTAAGCTCAACACAAACCTTCGCTATCCTCACTAGCTGTCTGAAACGCGTTGGCTGATCCATACAGGGCAGACGCCCAATTAGACTTTCAACCCGACCCAAACCCTCCTTCGAAGATAAATCCGCTGGTAAGCCCGAGAGTTTAACCCAGATAGGAACGGAGGAGTTGTCAATCGTAAGAGCCTGAATCCCCGGAACCCACTTCCGCAAACATATCATATTATTCCGATAGTGCCAGGGACCGCCTTCAAATACCCAACGCGAGACAGTTTCAGACGAGAAATGGAAAAGAAGAAGACGATCCTCAAACTCAGAGACTCGTATCTCACCATCCCGACCCCAGAGCCGTTTGCCCAGGAATAAATCGAAGCAATCGATGGCGGTGCACGCAGAAATTTACCCACTAGAGTGTGTTCAAGCTATTTCGCCCCTTCCTCCATTATAGATTTAGGGATTCGCAGCGAACCATTTATTAGCTCCGGCTCAAAGTACTCCAGTTTGTTATCCTCCGCTACACCGAATAGAGAGGCCCAGGACCGACCGTCGCAAACGGCGCCCGACGAGGACCCGTCAGCGACGACCTTCATCGAAGAAGTGAAAGACGGAAACCCTAGTTTCCAGAGAGAAAAGGGAAGGAAGAGGAGAGAGCTTTTTTGAGCGTGTGAAAATAATATTATTTTCGTACACTCTTTTATATGTATTTGTGCATAATCAGATCCAACCCCTTAGTTTTAAATGGGATTAGATCCAAGGGGTAAGATTAAAAGATTTCTTTTAATTTTTCTACTTTTTTGATTGACTTGTATCTTCTTTATCTACAAAATTATATTCATTTTTTCATAAGAGTGTTATAGTTTGTACTTTTGTAGTTAGGTACCACTTAATGGATTCAAACTTATGACTTCTAAATTCAGGGCTAGTGGCATTACCAGTAGATCAGGTTTTTGTTCGTCAAAATTGTATTCATTTTTTTAAATGTATTTTGAGGAATTTTTTCGAACTACCTGTTACCACCTTCATTTAGCTCAAACTAAAAAAAGAAATTGCACAAAAAGAGAAAGTACACTATGATCTACATAATTCAATATATTTCTGGAAACAAATTTTGGAATCAAATATATCACTCTTTAGTACTGCTCTATAATAACGTACACTGGTGGAAGTTTATAGATGATGGTTAGTATTATGTATACTACAATTTTACAATATAAAATATTCTTATTACTATTGATTTCATACCATTGTGATCGTAATTTTATGTACCATCAATTTTACAATCAAAGTATAAGGTGATAAAATATGTATCAATCAGTGTTATATTTTTTATTTCAGAAATTTATGCATGAGTCATAATTATTAATTACTGACTGCGGATTAAAGTCTGCATAGTGGTTAGCGTTGTGCTTTGGCGCATGTGTGTGGCCTCTTAAACTATGTAATTAATCAAAACAAAGAGTTGATAAATGTATTAAAAATTAGAAATCGACGATATTAGTATCCTGAATCGCTAACCTTTCAAAAACCCTAATACATCCAAAAATTTCCTATTAAGAAAGAGAGTACAAAAAATTACCATAAAAAACTCTACATTACGATGTTTAAATCTTCCGCTTCCACTCGTCTGCTCAGCACGTCTCCCTTTTAATACCTACAATATATTATTTTTAAGATCAAATTATTAAATCGACTTTGCAAAAAACCCAAAACTCCTCTTCAGAAAAATGAACTAGATCTCTATCTCTTAAGTGTTTTCCTCTTCGTGGATGTAGATCACTAATTACAATTGATTTCTAAATACAGTCGAAATCGTAGACCTAATTAATTTTTTTTTTTACTAAAATCCATGTTCAAATTTATCCTAGTAAATAGAAGTGGATTATGTTGTCAATGGAAGGCTGAATTATCAAATATGATGGCAGAATGACTAAGAAATCACGTAAGCACTAAATCATCATGCTGCTAAAAGTCTGACCACACTGCATGCAAGTAGTAAAACATCCAAAAAAAGTTACGTTTTGGATTTCAGTTAATGCTTGCCTATATCGAGAGCGGCCAAACTGTGGAGATCGAACGGGTCGCTATCCGAAGGCAGCAAGGATTTGTAAGTCCGGTCAGCGAAAGTCCTGTGACTGGCCTCCGTCGGATGGAAAGAATCTAGGGATGTCAATCCAACCCGTAATCATGGGTACCCTACCCGACCGTAACCGGTCAACGAGGGTAATTACCCGCTTTGACGGGTTAAGGGGCGGGTATGGGTAATACCTGGTTTCAAAATAAAGGGTAGGGTACGGGTATGGTAATCGATAATACCCGATCCGTTATACCCGCCCCGCTAACCAAAGGGTCAATTTCCCTTGAGAAATTTAGATTAGCTTGAGAAATTGAGTTTATCTACCATTATTGATGATGAAGATGTAGACGATTATTATGTTTGTGTGGATTGTAGAAGCAAGAACAATTATTATGTGTTTGCTATTTTTATTTGTGTAGATTGTTGACGCTCGAACAGTTACAAGTATTGAGAATTTTATTTTATAAAGAAGTATTGAGAATTTTTAATGGACAACAGTATCTATGTGCATATATGTGTATAAGTTCATAGTTTAGAATTCGTACCCATGGTTACCCGAATACCCTTGGTTACCCGGTGGGTAGGGTATGGTTATATAATTTTCATACCCGGTGATTATTTGGTTGGGTATTTTAGAAAGCTCTACCCGGTGGGTTAGGAGTTGGTATAGGGTAAACCCGCACCCGACCCTACCCATTGCCATCCCTATGACGCAGCCTCTTAATGAGTGGTCTTTCTTGGCTATGGAGGTGCTCTATATGGATTGTTAGTATTGTGGTTATTCCAAAATCCAAAGCAAGCTTTGTTCATTAAAGTTGAAGCTATCTGCCAAGACCAAAGTCTTAATATGACGGCCGGGCCAACTGGACTGGATGGCCTGTTCATTAACATAATATCTCTATCTAGTAATTAGATTGTGGTACTCAATTTAGTTTCAGATTACTGACATAACCAAGCCTAAAAATGGGCATGGTCCAAGAAATTCCGTCGAAGATATATGTCAAAAAATTCCCTCGCCCATTTCTCATCATATGGTCCCGACTCCTGACAGAGAGAAGAAGAGACAAACTGTGGATCCCTCACCATAAGATAAGAGGCTACCGTTGTTGAGTATTCGTTGGCTGCATAACAGGCAGCCACTTGCAAGTTGCAACCTCTGGAAAGATGGATGTGTGAAAGAAGAAACATGCATGTAAACTTTGTAAAGAAGAGAGATATCTACATTCTACAATGGGTGGCATGGAATGCGTCTATCCACACAAGTCGACTATTGAGACAAGAAAAGACCAGATATTTGAATCTCATTTTACTCTCATAATATTCAAGATACAACAGAACAGAATGCCCAAAAGGGTAGGCAAAATAACAGAGAAATAGGAACAAAAAGAAGAGCAGAGTAGCCAAGAATGTGAAGGGAGAGGGAAGCAGCAGCAAAGTACTAGTTAGCTGCAGTTTTTTGCCTTCCAAACCAAAGAATAAAATGATGCAGATTGGCTATTCATCTCCATTGAGGAGATCTAAGATTCAAGGATTCTTGGCTTCTATTTTTAATCTCATTCAGAAAGTGGGAAAAGACAAGACAAAAAAAACAAAAAAAGAATAGCTGCTGTTGTTGGTCTGTGTCCTTTTAGGTGGCTGGTATTTTGAAACTTACTTATACCTATGCTCTTCTCTTTCTGTCCAGATTACAAAATAATACAAACTCTTGAGGGGGATAGGGTAACTGCTGTGCTATGATGCGGTTGCATTATCCATTTTTGCCGTTGAAAAAATAGGACAAGGAACTCACTCACTTCATTGATAACAGAGCTCGTCTCCATCATGAAGTCTGGTTCGAGGAATACCAGAGCTTCTTCTGGCAAACCAATATCTTCTCCTTCTCAACCCCGTACTCTGTGTCTTCCTTCCTGCAACTCCATTTCATCCCCTTCGTAATCGTAGCTATTGCATCAACATAGTAGCTGGATTCCCGGATTATGGCATAACCCATCGGCCGAAGGATCCTATCCATCTCCAGCAGCACATACTTCATCTCGCACCTGCATAATTCCAATCCACCCAAAATCCCAAATGAACAAAGGAGCAAAGCAAAATCTGATTTTTATTTTGCTGGCCCACAACCTGTTCTCCTATTTGAAGTCTGGGCTAACTGACATGACTACTTAATTGAGAATTCTAACTCAGCCTTTTGCACTTCAATTTACAGGTCATAGTAAATGAAAATGTGGATGCAAGCAAATAACATACATGCTTATGTACCCTACAACGCACAGTGTCAGTACCATGAAGAACAATGACAGGTAACCAATCCCATGTGACATTATTGGATCCCCCATGTGACCTCGTGGTTTCATTTTCAACACTTCAATTATTCAACTAACGTCCAACACTGTGGTCTTGTCTTTCATCCTTAATTTCTTTCGCATTGCAAGTTGCTGTCATGAAAGATACTTTATTCGAGAAGCTAAGATGGGGATCAAGAGTTCTTCTTACCTGTGGCTTTCGGCAGTGAAGAGGCCATCAACGTGGAGGAGATCGTAGGTTCTGGGATATGTTGAGAACGCTTCACACCTACCAAAGAACGGCAAAAATTAATTAACGGAAAAGATTACAACAGACCAAACAGAAATAGAACTGGTTTTCCATATTTTCAGCATAATGGAATGGGATGTCTAGACCCACTACTCACCAATCCTGATAAGTTCCAATGAGCCCTCTGTCGTAGATCACTGGAAGCGTATTGGGGGCATAAGAAGATACCACGTTCATGACCCACAGCGGGCTATCGATGAAGGCTGCTGCAAACCCACCATAAACCGTGTTCATATCCATCACATTCCTGATCTTGTCCGTACCGATTGCAGGAAGCAACTTTTTGTAGTGCTTTGCCCTGACCTTCCATTTCCCAATATCATGCTTGAAAGCATTGGCATTCCCACCATGCACGTCTGAGATGCGCTCGGACGCAACCTGGAGGCGTTCGGGCCACTTGGGGATGGATTCAAGAACAGACTTCTTGATCTTAGGACCTGGAGCAACCACACAGGGCCTGAGTGGGGTATACCATGCTGAATCTGGTTCGATGCTGTCATCACATTTGGGTGGATATACATCAGGGTTCACAAGCTTCTTGTAGCAAGTGTCGTCCGAATCCTTCTGCCAAACGGCAATGTCTCCCTTCTTGTTGTACAGTTTGAAGCACATTGAAGTCAGCAAGTCCTGCAGCTTCTCATAATCAGATTTCTGATCTTCAATTGTTGTGTTCCAGCCTCTCCATCGGTTTTCGTAGTTGACGGGTGGGCCAGAAAGAACCCAGAAACCTCCAGGGCGCAGGATCCGGTGAACTTCTAGGAGATAGACACCCCCTGAAAGAAATTACAGCAGTTGGGAAACTGGATTAATTACATAGCAAAATCTCATTCAACAGCAACAGATCTTGGTTGTTTTCACTTCAGCTTATAACAGTGAACTGGAAACCTTTAAAGAAACACACTTTCTTTCGCTTAAAAAAGTAACTGTTAACCACCCAAAAAAAGTGACTGTTTTTTACATTGTCGTAAAAGTGAAGATAAAGTGTGATAAGGGTATAGAAAAACTTGAGTGACATAGTATATAGTTTTAGTAAGAACAAATAATTGATGGGACTACTAGATGTTTGTTTCGTAATTAAAAAATGAGTGAACATTAAGAAATGAGGGTATGCATGAGATTACCAAATTCAGTCCATGGGATAAGGCATCTGGAGCAATGAGCCATATCAAAGGAGTTGGAAGGGAAGGGAAGGCGTTGTGTAGAAATGATGCCGAGAATTGCAGGAATTCCACGCTCCAGAGCAAATTGCACTTGGGCCTCGTGATTGTCTCTTGGAGCCAGAGAAAGAGTTAGGATCCCACGATCCAATAGATCGCCACCCCAACTAGCAACCTGTATCAGCGTTTATGAAAAGATTTCAGATATAAGAACAAGTAATACAAAGCTAGTCAATAGTAGATGCTAAGAACAACACTCACCCCACAACCAGTATCAATGGCAGTCCGAATAGTTCCATCCTTCATTTCTGGGATCAGCTCTACCATGTGATCGACATACTCACCAACTCCATTGGGGAACATAGTACCCCCTCCAGGGAAAAGGAATTTTTCACCTTCCTTGATCAGCCAATGCTGATTCGATTTTTGTTTGTTGATCCAGTCATATGGCACATTCCTGAATCAAGATCACATCCAAGTTCAGTTGAATGCCAATTGGGACACAAAGAAGTAGAATCCAATCCACAATGGAGAATGTAATATTACCTGTACCAACATTCATCCCTGCTCTTGGGCCACTTAATTGGTGACTTGTAGCCATCTGGAGGTGGAACTAGGCATTCCTTCCTCTCAAATGCTGGAGGACAATGGCGTTCCATGAAAGTAAGGCGATGAACGCCATACTTCTTCCACCTCTGAGAACAAATACAAATTCACATTCTAAGATTAAGAAAAATATAAGAGCCTTAGATGTAGTTAAAACATAAAATGAGTAAATCCAGATTCTCACCCTTGGATCTGTGCAAGGAGTGTAATCCTGATAGTCAGCACTGCATTCAGAGAAAGAGGAGGATTTGACTTGAAGAGGCGCAACAGATGTTTCTTTGGGAGATGGGATTGACACCTTCACTTCATTGGTCTCCGCCTCCTCAATCGTGTTCTTCTCAGAACAGAAGATTCCACCCAGGTAAAAGGAGAGCCCACAAAGAACGATGCAAGTTATGATCACGGTACCAAGCCTTGGATTTTTATCCGATGAGTATCCCGGTTTCCCATCTTTATGATGCTTCATGATGAACTCTCTTCTCTAGAGACTATCTGCAAACAAACTAAGACGTCTAAGGCAATCTCATATTTTCAAGCCAATCTTAACTGATAACAGCAGTCTAGCAACAAGGAGGCGGAGGGAACCCTTCAAAAGTAGACAACATAAATTCCCTTACATGGGCAAATGTGAAACTAAAACTAGCCAAGGGATGCACGTGGAGTTCCCAAAATGTCAAATCAATTACCAGATAAGTTTATTGTTAGCAGGCTGGAGTAAGCAGATCAAGGATGTGAAAAAGGTCCTAGCTACGTAAGCTCTATTAGATCCAGCTCATAGGGGAAGAACGAAAAATGGAAATCGGCTACAAAAGACTTGCAGACAGAAAAAGCAAAACCAAGGAATGGGTGAAAGGAAAGTGTAAAGAGGTTGATGAAGATATTAGAGAGAACAAGGTGAGCACAGAAGCTACCCAACTACCCAAGCCGGCCTTTATGAATATGTATGCATACTACTACAAGATCTGGCAGCAACTTAGAGACGAGTAGGTCTACTATCTACATCTGACTTTTAAACGTTGTTCGTTTTCCCACATGACAATGGGACCCATCTCCATCAATTACAGCCGTCCTAAAAGCTCCAATCCGTTCATCGTCCTCCACTCCCGCTATCTCTCTACATCCCCACCACACCAAAAAGGCACAAAAGATAAATGAAGCACTAGATCTTTTGTACCAAACACCAATGATATAGGAAAGAATACGAGTGCCAGCTTATAGTAAATCATACAATTCCAACAACTTCCTTGCAAATAAAGAAATCATTCATTATTCAGGCCTCGATTTGTTCCAACCAATGGACCTAGAATTCCCATGCAAGATCATGATGGTGAGACCGCAAATTTTGACAAAAGCAAAAGGCGAGAAAAGCACTAAATTCCAAATAGCTTTGACGAAAGCATAACAACAAGAGAAGAGGATAGCACTCTCCAGCTATCCCACCTAAAAAAGAAAAACAACCACGGACTGAGGAAGTGAAAGGCGTAGTAAAAGAAACTGCAATTTGGTGAAGCTCAAGAACCATTCCAAGGAGCAAAAATGGACCAAGCGAGACAAAAACAAAAATGGGCAGCATAGCAAGAAACCAAGACAGGGCAGATCTACTTCTGCTTCGAAATTACGCAACAGAAGTGGAAGTAACCCATTAAAGAAGCGATGAGGACGAAGATGGCCTCGAAGAGGGGGGATCGGGAAGGGGTTGTTGTCTTTTATAGATAGGCTAAAGAATTTGGGTCTACCTATATAATTCCTGCCAAAATGAAGAACTTTCACCGGTTGAAAGAATTCAATCACCGAGTTGAAGGTTTGTGAAGCTAACCATGGATTGTAATGAAAGAAGAAAAACTCGAAAAGGTAGGAACTGGAAAGCACAAAGCAGGAAAAGAAAAAGTCAGTAATGTTGCTCAGAATTGTACCTTTCTCTGCCTTGAAGCCCCAGAGGGAGGGGAGAAAAAAACAGCAACACCTTTATGTTTCCACAGCAGAGCCGCAGAACCCCCTCAATGAGAATAGAGATCTGTTGCTCTAAGAGGCATTAACGCAAACACCAAGAGTGCAATCAATACAAAGGACGAACAAGAAGAAGAAGAAGAAGAAGAAGAGAAACAAAGAGGGAGGGAGAGGGAGTTGGGGCCCTGAGGGACACAGAGGGGAAGTGTCCCAGAACCGAACTCTCTCTGAAATTTTCTCAATCTGGATCTTCAACTCTCAATCTCTCTTCCTCTACAAATTGACACCCATACATGGGAACCTCCATCTTCCTTATAAACAAAAAGGAAGGAGGGAGAAGATGGAAGGGGGAAAAAAACGAAAAAAAATTAGCCATTTGTTCTGTTATTTGGCCAGCTGAGCTGTCTCTCTTCCTTTTCTTTTTCTTTTCCTTTCCTTTCCTTTTCTTTTCCCTCTTCTCTAATTATTTTTGACGGTTTCCGCCATTTTTCTTTTTTGAGTAGTTAACGGGATTCGCAACTCGATCCACAGCCTTCCATAGTTATGCCATCTACGTGACGGTGAAGGAAATTTCCCAGAAAAACAAATTACAAAATAAATAAAAAAAAAAAAAAACAGAAAAGGGAGGGTACTGGTCCACATGGAGAAAGTGTGTGTGCCGACACTCATTACTATTTCCTGCCAAAAAAGCAAATGATTTAATACACCATGTTCTACCCTCTTGCTCCAAGAAAAATATAAACGACCACGTTCCACCCCTCATTTTCGCCCTATTAATTAAGCACCGCAATTTGTAGATTCTTGCTACTTGCTAGTAGTACACGACTACATGTACGTTGTAATTCATGAAAATGTGGGTTGGATATTTCTTTTTTTTCTTGATTTTTTTTATAAGAATGACATCCATTTAATTTAATTAGAAAATTAATGAGCAAGTATTTGACAGAGAGAGACGGTTCCGATTCTTATTTAATATTCCGTCATAAAAAAATCTCATGTTAATTGGTTCGTTCTAACAAATTTAGTGAGAATAAGATTTTTAGGTTGGATGCATATTTGTAGTAAAAAAATATTGTTTGGTTCGTTCCGACGAATTCAGTGGAAGAATATTTTTAAGTCTTCATGCTTATTTTCAGTCAGAAATAGTTTATATGGTTCATTCTAACAAATTTAATGGGAGAAGATTTCTGTATGCGTATTTTTAGTAAGGAATATGTTATTTGGTTCATTCTAACAAATATTGAACCAAACTACGAAAACAAAGGATGTAATTTGAGTATATATCTTTATAGCTAAAAAGTAGATTATTAGTTACATTTACACGTGGTGATTACTACGTATTATGATTTCACGCATGATTTACGATTTCACGCATGATCTACAATTAAACATATGTGTTAGTGATTAAATGTCTCCAAAGTAATTTTAGCAAAATATAACTAAATTTAAATCCGAATCCTCTAATTACAGACTCAACACTACATAATGATTTGTTGCTTTTTTTTTTTTTTTGTTTGTTTCAACGTGTAAGTTTGTTGCACACATAGCTAGGCTGTACAACATGCGAGGCATAATTATTAGTAAACTTTTATTACTGGAAGGCTGCGACCCTTTTAAGCAGTGGTTTGATTGAGTTTAGTGAGCTAGAAATAGGAAGACAAGATTGGGTTCCCTGGCGAGGCGCTAAATACAAAGGTACCTTGCTTATAAAATAGGACAACCCATGGCTGGCAGGCAGGGCACTTTCTTCTCCATTCCTCCTTTTCCCCATCTGTTCTTTAGCACTTGTATGTTTGGTTTTGAGTGTTCACCTTATATTCTTTCTTCTCCCCTCCCATTTAGAAGTTTCGACTCTCCAATCCACATTGCTAGTGTATGTAGACTATGATTAATGGTACCGCATCAGATCATTTCTTCATTTTTACCACTAAATCCTATTTGGTAACTTGATTGATACATTAATCCATGATTAGTTTCGCAAACCATCAACTTGGTTATTGAATTCTTTCAAATCGCGCCTTGCCTTCCCTTTCACTACACTCTCAATATCTTAAAGTCAATTATTTATTTTGTTTTAACGCTTTGATTAAAACGATTTATAATATAATAATAGTAACAATTAAGACATTGGAGATAAGTAGATAGCAAAAGTAGAGGAGCTCACGTCTGTTCTTGTCTGAATGCGAAAGGGGCCGGCCGTTGGATTCTTGAGAAACGTCGGTGGGTATATATTTTATATAAGTTTCCGCCTACAGTACAGAACAGTTATGGCGCATTACATGCTGATGAAACGACGACCAATTCTCAGCGTTATCGATTTTATTATTTATTAATTAATTCATTAGGGATGATCCAGGGTAGGTACGTCTTAGGATATGAACCTTAATTTTGTAGGGCGAGGGCATGGCATAATGCTTGCGGTGTGGAGGACAAAACAGGTTAATTAAGGAGGAGGGAATGAAGAGGCTTATTCTACTCTGAACCCTGAAGCCGAGTTAATTCGGAGAATTACAACTTGGTTTAACATCAACAAGCTCGTGTGAGCTGGAAAATTGCTTGAACTTTCATTACAAGAAGACTGAATTCGAGTCTATAGGTTCGTGGCTCTGTTCTACTACCATCAGGCTATAGGGAAGGTCAATTGAAATTGGATTCTACAACTGCCATAGATATAATCAGGAACTGGGAGGAGATCAAGAGGATGATCACAAGCAATCAGGAATAGCTCATAACTCGACCGATTAGAAGCTATTTGCGTAATGAGTTGGAAGTTAAAGTCTCACTTGTGTATGGAGCTAGAGCAATTTTGTGGACGATTTTATTGGATTGTGAATGTCGTGACTTTTCTTTTGATGCACAAATTTTTGTAGTGAGTGGCCCAAATTTAGTATTTTTGTTCTTTGTATGATGTAATGGTATCATTTATCATCATTTAGTTAATGCTAATTAAGGTGTTGAACATCCGTCTTTTATCAATAAAGAAGATCGTGGTCGGCCGGTGGTACAAGGATGAGTTTGAGTCACTAGATTGGCGGGTGTTCCACACTAAATCTATCGTATGGATACGAAGTTTTAGGTTTGGATGAAGAGATTAGATGGTGTCTTGAATACTAGATCTAGATTTGGGTCCGCCCATTAACCGGATGTACTTCATTGATGCTATAAGCAGCAACAACAATTGTACAAGAAGTGTTGGGTTTGGATGAAAAAAATCGCCCCATGGGATAGAAAGTGTTAGGTTTGGATGAAGAAATTGAATGTTTGTCGTTCTTGTATACTATATTTAGGTCCACCTATTGACCAGATGCATTTTATCAATGGTATAAGCAATTCTACAAAAGTAATAGGTATGGAAGACGAAATTTGCCGCATTGGATAGAAAATTTTAGGGTTGGACAAAGAAATTGAATGGTGTCGTTGTTAACAATATTTGAGCTCGCACATTGATTATATGCATTTCATCAAAACTATTTCTTTGTTCGACCTCTGTATTGGATTATGATTTTTGTGGTTGCACCAATGTTCTACCTTTGGGCTTTGATGTCTTGATATTTTTTTCACCAATTGAATCCTTGACCACTATCACTAAAATTAAGTCATTTCCAGAATAATAAAAAAATTAAACTATTGTATCAACCGCACCCCTAGTTCTAACCTTCAATGCAACAATCATTATGTGGTCCATTAATGGCGATGGTGGCAATTAAATAACTTCCTTAAATGATAATTTAGTATAAAGAATATTGGGTTTTCAACGTAGATTTAGGAATATGACAAACCGGATCATATATCATGCTGAATATAAATTGTACTCATAGTTTTCGTTTTACAAATTTAAATGAGAAAAATGATGTGGTACATAACTAAAAATTACAAATCCTATATACTTGTTTACACCATAAAATTTGTCTTGTACCACATTGGTGAGTTACAAGATAATTAATGAGTTTATAAGGCCACACCCATTATAACAATTAATGTTGTTTCAGTTGGGCCTTATGGATATTGATTTTAGGCCCAAGCTACTAAGTCTAAAGAGAGGCCATGCCGCCTCAACGAAGAGGCCATGCTGCCCCATGACCAAGGCCTAATGACTAAAAATAAACTAAGTCTGGAAGAGGTACATGCCACTTCAAGGAGAAGCACGTGCCACTTCACGAGAAGGGGCATAGACGCAAAAAAAATATTCTAAGTATGAGAATATAGGGCCATGTGGGTGATTAAGAGGTCCATGGCCGTGTCATATGTGACGGCCATGGACACGAGACAAGAGGACCTGGGCACGTGAAAAATACTAAGTAGGAGGAGGCCAATGCCATCCAACGGAAAGGGCCACAGACATGAATGAGAAGTCCATGGCCGCGAGTGAGGAGGCCATGTCGCCTCATGATCCAAAATATACTAAGTCTGAGAAGGCCATGCCGCCTCACGAGAAGGCCAAGGACATGATGATAACGATATATTTACATGATTTTATACCCCTATTTCTTATCCATTTGCGGAGCATGGTTGTGTGTTTTGGCCTATTTTACGCCGGGTTGTGCTACTTTGTCCTATTTCAGGTCCTAGGCGTCAAAGGGAAGGCCAAGCACGAGTTTCGGATCGTTTGGAGGTCGTTTGGACGAGCCAGGCCAAAACACGGGCAGGAGACCCTCAGAACACGGCCGTGTTCCTGAGACCGTGCTTTTTATGCCGAGGCTTCCAAAGGAGGCGTGAATAACTCAAAAAACACGGGCGGGCTAAAGGAGAAACACGGCCGTGTTTCAGGCTGAGCACGACCGTGTTCTCGAGCTGCCCGTGGCCGTGCTTTTAAGGCTGAGGCAAAACACGGGCGGGCTGAGGCAGAACACGGCCGTGCCCTCGACCGTGTTTTGCCAATGATGCCCTTTTGAAGGCAGATTCGAGCCAAAGAGAGGGGGATCGGATTTTCTGGGCAAAAACAGAGTTTTAGAGAGAGAAAGAGCGAAGAACAAACCCTAGGAGCTATCTTGGAGTGGATTTCTCATCATTGAAGCCCGGATTGCGTTCCTAGGAGTGAAGATTGACATCCCAGAGCAGATTTTCCTCATCTTTTTGAGTATGACTACTCTGATTTCTGTTTTTCTTTCTCTCTCTATGGAGTAGAACCTCTCTCTCACTTGGGTATGAAGAACCCTAGTTCCTGATGTTAGGGTTTTGATTGTAATGACTTGGGATGATATTATCGTTTGATTTTAATCGAATGACGCATGTTTCATGAATTGATTTGAGTCTGATCAGCTTGTTTCAATTTCTGCTTCAACCTGAGATAGATAGAATCTGATTAGGTTGTTAGAGCTTCTTCATTCGATAGTAGGAGATTGGCTATACGAGAGTTAGCCAGTTTACTGCTTTGTACTGGTGTTCTTAACGCCAGTAGTGGAGTTCTGTGTTTATAGCCTCAGCTTTCTATCCCGGTGAAGACTAGTCGTCTGCCGGGTAGTTAGACTGAGAGGGCTTGGTCAGCTTAAGAGATTCCAAGCTACTGTCGGATCTTCCGCAGTCTAATCAACAGTAAATCAACCCAGGGAATTGCAATTGAACCTAACTAAGGGGCTAGGGGGACTCAATCCCGAGTGACTCTTACCTG